GATCATGTTCAGTGTTCTATGCACTAGGGGGCGTTAACAGGATGCATGGCGTAGGCGGCCCTTACTTTCTGCAGCCTCTTTGCAGCTACTTCTTAACTGCATGCTCCCGCTCTGGCATCTGCTGCACATTGGTAGAGCAGGATGGCAACACAGAAGGATAATTGGAATAGAGTGGTATGGTGTTGTCACTCTATAGTAGGAAGTGCCTGAACAAGGACCTTCATGGCAGGATGACCGGGTAATACACTACGTAGCCTCCCTAGCGGTCTGATTATGTCATATTTCTGTGCTCAAAGCGGTACATTATTTTGCATGGAAATATGTCGTTTTTTTATTGCCGGCCTGTATTTTTAGGAATAACTCACTGAAATCTGTCTAGTAAACATCCCGGGTATGATAAAATTTGAAACACAAAATCATAAATTATAATATAATAAATAATCCTAAAAAATAATAATATAATAATAATACATTTAATTCAATAATAATCAAATCAAACCAAAAACACTGAAATGTGAAATATAGCGCCAAGTTCGCACATCGCTGAGCAAAGTCGCAGAATCGTTTTCAGTGTCTGATGAGGAATTTCCCCCACGAATCATTATCACTCAATTCTGCAAGTGGTTCTGATTTACTATCGCTGTTCTCTAGCCGGTCTAAAAACCGCTTTTGACCTAAAGGGACGCTTTTTGGACGCCATGGACATTTCTAAGTTTCCAGTTAGATAGAACAGTAAAAATGCAGGCAGGGCGCCGGACAAAGCACTCGGGACAAAATGTATGTGAAATGGTTTGATACAGGAATGTTATACTATGTGATTTTAGTGTATTTAGTGAATGTCACTTTTTGCCATTTTTAAATTTCCCGGCAGTTCCGTCCCCCGTACGTCCCGACGTCGCAGGGAACGGAACCCGGAAGATAGATGCCGGCATCGGCCGGAGGACATTACAGGGGACACTGCAGGGGGGGACATCGCGGGGGCGCAGGACAAGGTAAGACAGAAGGGATCACAGAGCAGTGCTGCAGTGTATTCACTGAGTGTAGCTCGGGTTACTGCTTGTGGTGCTGAAACTTTACACCGAGCTACACTCGGGAATACTGCCAGGGGGGTTAAAGTATAACCAAACCCATATGGAAGAAAAATATATTTGAAATATATTTTTAAAATATTCTTCCCAAATATATTGTCATATATTTGAAATGCTACAATTTTGGCCGTATTCAATATATTTAAAATTATATTTCAATAAATATATATATACTGTATGTTGAAATGCGTTTTTATTACAAGATATATGAAAAATATTTTTAAACATACATTTCAAATATACTGTATGTCTTTAAAAATACAAATCTACATTTTTGGGATGCATTTACAAATATATGTAAAAATATATGTTAAAATTACTTTTTTATGTTAAAAAAAATTCTGAAGAATATATTTTTTAAAATATATTTCAAATATATTTTTCTTCCATGTGGGAAGGCAGATAAAGTATACCTTATATAAGTTTTATTAAAAGTATAACTAAAGGCAAACTTTTTTTTTTAGTTTTGGATGGGGTGGAGAGGGATTAGAACCCCTGTCAGTTATTATTGCTGCCTGTGCACCTGTTAGGGAGAGACTCCCTCTCTATTTGTCCTGTTTACCGTTATCACTGAAAGTAAAGAAAACATCCCAAATTTTGGGTTGTGCCCAGAAAAGTATTAGAGGGGAAATCTTCCAATGGGGACACTAGTCGTGGTGACCCAGGCAGGCCCCAGTGGTCTCCATTAATTTGCAGGGAGTTTCTCTCACTCCCTCAAATCCAATCAAAAAAAATTGTGGATTTCCCTTCTCTTTCACTCAATCCCCAGTAAACATTCCAAGAGTGAATCTCCAGGACACATACCAAGAGTGAATCTTCAGGACACATGCCGAGAGTGGATCACCAGGACACATGACGAGAGTGAATCTCCAGGACACCTACCGAGAGTGGATCTCCAGGACACATACCAAGAGTGGATCTCCAGGACACATCCCGAGAGTGGAGCTCCAGGACACATCCCGAGAGTGGAGCTCCAGGACACATTCCGAGAGTGGATCTCCAGGACACATCCCGAGAGTGGATCTCCAGGACACATCCCGAGAGTGAATCTCCAGGACACATGCTGAGAGTGAATCTCCAGGACACATGCTGAGAGTGGATCTCCAGGATACGTTCCAAGAGTGAATGTGTCCTGAAGATTCACTCTCAGGATGTGTCCTGGAGATTCACTCTCGGAATGTATCCTGCAGATCCACTCTCAGTATGTGTCCCGGATGTGCCCTGGAGAGTGAATCTCCAGGATACATGCTGAGAGTGGATCTCCAGGATACGTTCCGAGAGTGAATGTGTCCTGGAGATTCACTCTAGACATGTGTCCTGAAGATTCACTCTAGGCATGTGTCCTGGAGATTCACTCTAGGCATGTGTTCTGGAGATTCACTCTCGGAATGTGTCCTGGAGATCCACTCTCGGTATGTGTCCTGAAGATCCACTCTCGGCATGTGTCCTGCAGATTCACTCTCGGTATGTGTCCTGGAGATTCACTCTCGGCATGTGTCCTGGAGATTCACTCTCAGCATGTGTCCTGGAGATTCAGTCTCGGCATGTGAATCTCCAGGACACATACTGAGAGTGGATCTCACAGGAGAGTGACTCCAGGATTCCGAGAGTGAATCTCCAGGATACCGATGAATCCCAGAGAGTGGATCTCCAGGACACATACCGAGAGTGAATCTCCAGGACACATACCGAGCCGAGAGTGGATCTCCAGGACTCATACTGAGAGTGGATCTCCAGGACACATTCCGAGAGTGAATCTCCAGGATAAATCCCGAGAGTGGATCTCCAGGACCCATGCCGAGAGTGAATCTCCAGGACACATGCCGAGAGTGAATCTCCAGGACACATTCCAAGAGTGAATCTCCAGGACACATTCCGAGAGTGGATCTCCAGGACAAATACCGAGAGTGAATCTCCAGGACACATTCCGAGCGCAAATATCCAGGACACATTCCAAGAATGAATCTCCAGGACACATTCTGAGAATGAATCTCCAGGAAACCTACCAAGAGTGGATCTCCAGGACATTATAATCATTAAAAACCTGACAATTGTTCTACTCCTCCCTCACTTTATCCAAAACCCAAAAAGTTTTTTTTAAAAAAAGTTTAATGGGTCCATCGAAAAATGTAACTATTTTCAACCGTTTTTTCTTCCCGCTCATTGCCGCAGTTATTAATCGCGAAGGCCTAAAACACCGACTTCCATTATTGTTATTATTATCAAACTCGCTTCCATTCCCGTGTCATAAAGACAAACCAAACCTCATTTCAATTAGTGTCAGCGGGAGGGAATGAACTTTAAACAGACATTTAATTTCTTGAAAAAAAATTCGGGAAGATACTCGTGGAAATGCTATGGCATTTTGAAACAGATTAATAGGCGAGTCTGAGCACTTCCTCCCCGCAGCGAGATGACAGCCGCGGTCTGACGCGCTGGCAGGTGTGATGACTAAACCCGTCGATGCCGCTGGTTTAAATTTAATAAAATCCCATTAATGTTTATGGTTTATCATCTGCGCTGTGTATACTGGCCTTGTTTGGTGTGCTGACTGTGTAGCGGGGCTAATGAAGGTCGCTTAATTATTCATGAGATAACGCCGCTATTTCCCGACGATTGGTTTGCGCTGGAAAGCATTTACAGAATCCTCTGGCATTTACTTATTAGAGGGAAACAGCAAATTGTCAGGCTCGGCTGCTTTGTAAACTGAGAGGGCAAAAACAAGCAATGCAGGCAGCTGGAGCTGAACAAACAGGGGCGTGATGGATCAAAACCCGCGACAAGGGCGCTCATACGTGATCAGTTTTCCGGGAGCCATGACGCGGATCTGAGCGCCAGCAGCAGTGATCTGGCAGTGGAGGGGCATCCTACTGAGAGATAAACACACCAAAACACAAGTGGATAATCATCTTCTTATCACTCCCAGAGATTGTCCAGCATGCTGAAAAACATCCGAGCTCATAGAAATATCAGATCTGACACCTATGGGTTGGAAAGTGTCGTTTGTCAGATGTTCCTTATCCAAGAGACAGAGGGAGGAAAAAAGGAAAAAAAAAAGGAAAGGAGGATGAAATGGAAGAGAGGATAGGGTGGAAGGAAGGAGGGAATAACGGGAAGGGAGGAAGAAAAGAATGAAGTTAGGAAGGCAGGAAGAAAAGAAAGAAAGGATGGTGAAAGGAAGTGAAGAAGGGAGGAAATGAGGAAAGAAGGGAGCGAGGCAATGAAGGAAGGAGGGAATAAAGGAAAGAAGAAAGGGAGGAAGAAGAGGAAGGAAGGAAGGAAAGAGTGAAGGAAGGAAGTGAAGAAGGAATGAAATCAGGAAAGAAGGGAGAGGGCAATGAAGGAAGGAGGGAATAAAGGAAAGAAGAAAGGGAGGGAAAAAAGAATGAAGATAGGAAGGCAGGAAAAAAGGAAGGAAGGAACGAAGGAATGGAGGAAGGAAGTGAAGAAGGGAGGAAATGAGGAAAGAAGGGAAAAAGGCAACGAAGGAAGGAGAGAATAACAGAAAAAAAGAACGAGAGGAAGAAAAGAATGAAGATAGGAAAGCAGGCAGCAAGGAATGAAAGAAAGAATGGAGGAAAGAAGTGAAGAAGGGAAGAAATGAGGAAAGAAGGGAGAGAGGCAATGAAGGAAGGAAGGAGGGAATAAAGGAAAGAAGAAAGGAAGGAAAAAAAGAATAAAGATAGGAAGGCAGGAAGAAAGGAAGGAAGTGAAGAAGGGAGGAAATGAGGAAAGAAGGGAGAGAGGCAATGAAGGATGGAGGTAATAAAGGAAAGAAGTAAGGGAGGAAGAAAAGGATGACAATAGGAAGGCAGGAAGAAAGGAAGGAAACAGTGGAGGAAGGAAGTGAAGAAGGAAGAAAATGAGAAAAGAAGGGAGAGAAGCAAGGAAGTAGGAAGGCAGAAAGGAGCA